GAGAGAGAGAGAGAGAGAGAGAGAGAAAGAGAGAGACTTCTAAACCAATGACAGTTAAGCAGTTAAAGTGGTACAACCTAAAGAATTAGAACTTTAAATCTCTTTTATAAAAAGTAAACTGTATGTTAGAGGCAAGAGAGAGTGACACTAAGTAAAATATGAAAATTCTTACAGAAATGGATATTTCTGCTCACTTTTCAAGCAATAACCAGATGCAGTCAAACATAATATTGCTCAGTATACATTTTTGAAATCAACACATAACAAAGACTTAAAAGTGCATTGTGTTCTGAGATTAATTGCAGCTCCTTCCAGAAATGCGATTAATGAAACCCTGTGAAGAGGAACAGCCTCAGTATTGCAACACCTAATCTATTTCCGTGTGTTCAAGAAAACAACACACTAATTCAACTCAGACTAGTCCTACTAACACCCAACACTTCTTTTACTTTGTTGACATCAGCATTGTTTGGCTAAATTATTTTTTATTGACATTGGCTTCAACTGTATACTGCATTTTCAACTTAAATCATATTATTGTGTCTTCCTAAAAAGCTTCCTGTGTCAAAGCAACAAATGGCATACATCATTTTTCAGACTGGTTTTACACGCAGCTTTTGGTTTGAACAGATTTTTTTATTGCATTCTGAGTTATTAGCATGAAACCATTCTTTCATCAATTTAGAATCTGTGATCGACTCTTTTCAGAAGAAAATGAGACAGAAAAAAAAACACGTTTTAATATAAGAGATGCTTGGACAAAAGGAAGTCTTATAATACACACCATATGGCTAAAATGCGAGAAAGTGATAAGAAAAAAGTGGATTTACTATGGATTTCTAAAATGTAATCCCATCTTCAACTAAGTCTGTTAAACAAATACGCAAACAATATATTTAAATATATATATAAAAAAATAAAATAAAATTTTTCCACAGCCTGGCCCATGCGTTAACAACAGGATGTTTGCAGGCTTTTTTTTAAGCATGCTGACCACATGCACCATTTCATGTCAACAGGGTTTTAAGAGTGACATTTTTGAGGAGAGACTAATACTGACAGTCATTTATCCTCAGTGGTGTGTGATAAGTGAATACAAAGCGTTCATATCATTCTGAGGTGCAGGATCACAATGCTGCACGGTGGAACATATTATAGAAGAATTGCCATCTCTAGCTGGGCCAACCAGACTGTACTCAGTCCCAATTTCATCATAGAGGTGATGAACATCATCTACATGTACAGTCTGAGAGACCTGTTGAAAGAGAAAGAGACATAAGGCTTGACATACCAAAAGTAAATTCAGTGTACATCCAACATGTTTGCCATAATCATATTAAACAACA